TTATGGCACTGAATACTAAACTACATCATATTTTCTGAACTGAATATATTTATGATAATTACCCTGGCAGAGTCACAGCACTGTGACTGAATACAAGCTCTGCTGCCAACCACGACTTTGCAAAAGTAACTGCAAAAACCAGTGAGTTGAGCTGAAATAAACAGATTTTAAACAAACAGATGAAGAGATAATTACAGTTCTCTACTTAATAAGGCTTTGTGTCATGCATGGCCCTTTTGTTCAACAGACTGGGGACTCGTGCCATTACTGTAGCACAGACTTGGTTAATTAAGCAACGCTCTTAAAATGACATGCAGAGTTGGCAGGATTTGGATACAGATAAGATTGGTGGGATAACACAAAAATTATATCTTCAACTTTGTAAAACCACAGAAGATTTTTACATGTTACTCAATTAAAAAGTGCACAGTTGAAAAGTTTGCATGTTTTGCCAATTTATTCTTTTGAAAATGTCTGTTACACCCTTTCAACTCTGTGTATACCCCCACTAGAAAAATACAGTGTTGAGAAGTACCTGAATACATGTACCGAGAATACATATTCTGAATACTAATTTTGAGTAACTGTATTCCAGTACAGTTACTTACTCATCTGGTGGTATTAAGAATGCAGTTACTTTCCTAAAATTAAAGGAATACATGGTGGTATAGAGATCAAAATACGTTACAAGATATATTTTACTGCAGGTATTCAGTATTCTGTAACTAAATAAATACAAGTTTTCTTCCCATCACTGGGTAAGCATACACTATACACTGCTTGCCTCCTTGGAGATGTTATTGCTTTGCCTGGAATGTTCTACAGTATGGCATTAAATCTAGCCTTCTCATATTGTTTTCTAAGACTGTATTTTACTTAATCTTTGCTGCTATTGAATGGTTGTTGTTGTCCTCGGTGTTATATGGGAAATGTTCCAAGAAAGATTTCCCTCAGGGGGCTATAAAGTTTCTTCTATTCTATTCTGTTTATCTCAGATCACAGGTGCTTTTATTTCTGAAAAATACTATTAAAACATGCATTCCAAACTGACCTGTAACTCACGCTGGGTTAACACTACCTGCAGGCGGGTAGGGCATGTACTTTGAGCAGGTTACTTGCAGATTGTTACACAAAATACAACAACCGTGGTGCAGATTTGGCCAAAGCAGCGTCTAATGACCTGAAAACTGCACCAGACCGCTGTGGTGTCCGAGACAAATAGACTCCCTACAGATTTTTTCCATAGACCCACGGCTCACACAGACCTGGACTTGCTGAGGTCAGTGTGGCAGGGTGCCTTGATTTTAATGAAGTCCCGAACCGCACCGTACTTGTAGTCAGTGTACACCTGGCTTTAGCCTGCAAGCATTCAAAATAGATCAGTTTAATGCCATACTATGGAACATTCCGGACAAAGCAATTCGCAATACACCAATCTGCTACTGAAAAAATCTCTGGATACCGACTTCCAAATATCAGTTCAGCTGCTATCCTGGTTGGACAGTTTAATTTCCTTTGGGATCAATAAAGTATCTATCAGATATAATAGGCTGTTTCATAATGTTTGAACTTTTATTTACACAAAGATGATCTACAGTTATTTGAAGTATAAATAACATCTAGATAACACATTTAGATCACTTTTGTCTTATTTTATTTTAGTATTAAGAAAATAAACACTGTTGACTGTCTCTGGACTGGTATCTGTTGATATCGGTTATTAACAGATACTTAAAGTTTAAGTATCAAAATCAGTATCAGAACTGAAAAAACTGGATTGATGCATCCCTAAAAGGAACAATATCTCCATGAAGACAAGCAGGTGGTGGACCATTTCCCAGTAATGTTATGTGCACCTTTAAGTGTTGACCCTTGTTGCATAGTGACAAATTGACATTGGTGTTGTTGCCTGGCCAGTCCTGTATTTTTATACAGAGGGAGATCAGTCTGGTCCCCACTCCCTCCATGTCGCCTTGAGCAAGGATCAAACACAGCGGTGCAATCAGATTTGTTTATTTCACTGACAAATGTGAAACGAAGGAGCTTGCAATGATTCAGCAGAAACCCGTCACCGCTGACCAGACTCACATCATTGTAAAGTATTGGAGAAGTGTGTATTCTAGACCCCAGGCAAGTCACCTAGCATTTCGCCAGGTTGGAAAGTGTGTAAGATTGGTGACATTTGCTTCCTTCTTGTAGCAGCGGTTGTATTTTGTTGGTTATTTCCCAAAAATGCAAGAAAAGTAAAAGCTTTACTTTGCATAAAAACAAAAGCAGGAATAAGCGAGACATATTTTTGTGGCATTTCCCAGAGAGAGGAAAGCACTTACTTGAATTGTTCCTCAAAATATAAACAGATCAATTTGTCTGGAGACAGCAGCAACCAATACACTGAAAATGTTGCTTGAATTTGATCAGGGTTGGGAGAAGTACTCAAAAAATGACTAAATATTATTATCAGGCCAGTACAACTAACTATCACTATTGTGAAACTGTCTAAATAAATACTTCAAATTGGCTTATGTATCATTGTTTTACATTGACAAAACAAGTCTGATGATAAGAATCTGTTAAGTGTCTTGCCCAAGAACACAACAGTATTTACAGTCTGGCTAAGTTTGAATTGCAGAATAGATTACATATATAAATGGACATGGCTAACTTGCTACTGCCACATTCCAAATAGGAAGTGAGCATGGACGTGCTTCTAGCTCCATCGTCTCTGGCTCCAACTGACTTTACATTGAAAACTGCTGCAGTGAGCCTCATGATTTTGGCCTTAAAATGTTCTCATTAACCCGCTGTGCATGATCCTTATGTTTTCTATTTTGCTATTTTCCCCATGAATCAAGATATGAACAGTCATAACATACAAATCATCATCATTTGCCCTGTAACTGCGACCCCTGGATGAGCTTCATTTGACTGGAGCAGAATGCTATGGGTGACGTCACACTCCCTTAGTCCACTTCTTTATACAGTCTATAAATACTGCTGTTATTTTCTCATTAGTCTTGACCTAAAAGGAAAACTGAGAAATTTTCTTGCCCAAGAACACAACAGCAGTTACAGTGTGGATAGATCCGAAGCGCAGAGATAGTGATGTAATACCACTGGCATTTTCCCATTAGTCTTCTTCTTGTGTAATTACTATCATTCTGAAATCATATCTTATTTTCATTATTTTGAGTGGCCAGACTTTTTTATTAGACATACAGTATTTCGAACTATATTTGTCACTGAGGAAAATATAAGCAACCTCAAATACTCCAAAGGTTGCAAAAACACATGGTTCTATTACTATATGAAAGATGGATTTGTGCTGGATGAAATCTGGCTCTTTGCTGTATACGGCTGCATTGTTTTTTCGCAGTATTTCGGTGTTGAGCTGTCGGATGCTTGTTTGGGAGTGCAGGGGAGCAGCGGTGGCAGGGTGGCAGAGGTCTGGGTGGCGGTGACAAATGGCACAAGGTTACAACAGCGACTGGATTTAGCACCTGCCTCAGAGCCATCTCAGCTCACAGGAGATGACAGCGTAGTACTACTGCTGCCTTGGAAACATGGGAGGTTTCATATGTTTGTGAGACATTAAAATAGTGATAGTTATTATTATTTATTTTAGCTATAGTTTAATTAAAGAGCTCATATTACGCTGTTTTTGGATGTTATAATGTTGTTTCCTCATCAGAAACATACCTGCTGTTGTGTTTTGATTCATTCACATTTTTAACACACAAATTCTACATGTTTAAGCTGTGTTCTTCTCTCAAACAGAAAACACTGTTCCACCTCGTGATGTCATGTGGTGATACAGATGATACTCCATTGTGTTTTTAAGCTCTAATCACTAGAATCATTTGGAATATTGCAGCCATAGAGTTGCCAGTCTCTACAGAACAAAAAGTAAAAGGTAGCTGTTAAAGGTACTGTAGCAGTTAACCACCACTTCATGACATCACAAGGTGGAACAGAGCATTTTGAGCTTTGAAGATGCAGACAGACTAGTAATAAAGGATTACTCAACCATGTGTGAATGAAACAAAACACAACTCCAGGTATGTTTTAAGCATTTATTCATTCTAACATGAATAAATGATCTACTAGTGCAGGGGTGGGCAAACTACGGCCCGGGAGCCACATGCGGCCCTTTAATCTTTTTATTCCGGCTTGCCAAACTTGAATAATAATAATGATTTTCAGTGTTTAAAAGTAATTTCAATGAATAGTAAATACTGTAGGACTTGAAAGACAGATATTTTGTTGTAATGCTTAGACATGAGTTTCAGGTATGGGATATTTCAATAATGTAATATTGTAACATGTATTTTTTTTTCTCTTATGCAGTGGATTACCAAAAAACTCCATCCATCTGCTCCTGGTCCGGTCCTTTCGTGAAATTTTAGAACCCTTTGTGGCCCATGAGTCAAAAAGTTTGCCCAACCCTGCACTAGATTTTATCTCCATCGCAGACACAAGCACAGTATTTCTTCTTTAAATATTATCTCCAAAAGCTCAAAATGCTCTGTTCTACCTTGTGATGTCATGTAGAGGTAGTTTTCAGGTTTGAAATATTCCAGATGATTCTAGTGAAGGTGTATAGAGTTTAAAAATACAGTGGAGCTCTTCCCGTACTACTGCAGGACTTACATCAGCAGCAGCAGCAGTATAGTCAGCCTCCTTAGATTCTCCATGTTTTCCTCTTCACCATTACGAATATTAAAGTAGCTTTCCTGCTGACAACTCCACCTGCCCTGTTTGTGTGTGTAGTTTGCCAATTTTTAGCCCTATTTCGGAATGTACCAGACAATATTCAGTGTATTCCATTTTGTTCATATGCGTATCAAAACATCTAATACATTTTCAATTCACACCTTTGTACGTATATGCTGCATCATTTTCACAGCGAGGAAATCGTCACTTCTTGTGTAACCACCTACATCCTCACATCTGATATGAAATCCCACACAGTTAGCATAGCATTAATAATAAATCATACCCACCTGTAGATAATGCACGCACTGTTTCGGCAGGTGTCGCAGTTAGCCGTGTCCTGTCCGGTCCTGTACGTCAACCTGGAAAAAAAAAAAAAAAAAAAAAAAAGTTTATTAAAATAAGAAGTGAGCATGACTGTGCTTTTGGCTCAATCATCTCTGGCTCCAATTCACTTTCTATTGAAGAACTGTTGCCTGTCTCTAACTGCTGCTGTCAGACTCATCATTTTGGTCTTAAAATGTTCCTATTAACCCGCTCTACATGATCCTAATGTTTTTACTTCACTGTTTTGTCCATAAATCGAGATATGAACATTAATATCAGACACATACTTCACTCCTATAACCCTATAATAGATTACAAGTTTTTTCTTCATTACAGTAAAAAGGCAGCCATTCTCCCAGATTTAATTAAGTGAGCATATTTCATTTTACATAACCGGATTAACTCGCTCGGCCTTGACATAGTTTTCCAAATCTCTAAAGGACTATGTAGAGCAAACTGCTGAATAAATTTGATACCATTCATAATTCATAAATCAAATATCAAATATTGCATGACACACGTGCTTGCTTTTCCTATGGAATGATATAGAATTTGAATATGTCCTTCTTGTGTATGCCCATATGATGATAGTGACAGTTTCTCAAACATTTAAAATGGTCTTGAGACAGCACAGTCACAAATGAAGAAGGTTGTTGAACTAATCTTAGGAAATGTAATTCTGCCCGATGTGATTTTGTACCACTTGTGTAATGCCTCGGGACCCAGTGGTAAAAGAACATAATGATTAGCAGTACTGCGGTCTGTTATATATACAGTATATTCTAGGGAACAGTTTGAAGATAGCCTTTTTGCATATTCGTCGTCATTCATGTATTTCCAATTTTGCACAAAATGTCAGCTACAAGTGATATCAAATGTTATTAAAATACGGTACCAGAAAAATAAGAAAATACAATTCTGATTAGGGGTATGCAAAAATATCGAAATATCAATATATATATCGTATCGTTTAATGTGATATTACAGTATCGATATCATGGGCTGCTGTATTAATATATCACCAAGAGTATTTTTTGGTGTACTTTACTAAATTATTTTGTTACACAGCGTTTTGTTGCTTGTTTAGTCATCGATTTGAAATATATCATATCGAAGTGAGTGCACTGATATGTGTCGTATCATGGCCTATGTATCGGTATCAAGATATGTGTCCTATCGTGGCCTATATATTGAGGTACGTATCATATTGGCAACTTCTTAATGATACCCATCCCTAATGCTGATTCTGTTTTTATGTGGGGTGAGTCCTGAGACAGTATATAGAAAATCCCTGCACAACTACTTTGCTTAAAAACACCAACACACCAGTTGTCAGACTAGTCATTTTCGTCTTAAAATGTTCGTATTAACCCGCCCTCCATGATCCTGGTATTTTTATTTCACTATTTTGTCCTTAAATCAACATTAAATGACCATTAATAACACACCAGTGACCTGCCCTCTTTCGCCGAGGTCACTCCCGCTAGCGTTAGGAACAGGTTGATTGACAGCCCTGTTACTAAGTGCAGGGATGAGGCGTTACCTTCAACACCCTCGCTCCGGATTGGCCCTTTGGTTACTATAATACACACAGTCGCAATTCCAAATATGTAACTCAGCTCCAAATTAGCCCCTATTGATACTTTGCAGCTGATGACGTTAACATTCCCTGGAGGTATGATGCTAATTGTAAGCACTCATCTGTCTGAAGCTTTGTTAGACTTTAATCTTAAATCTTACTTTATTTGAACACAATTTGGCCAGAAAGAAGTGATTTAGTTGGAACTACAACAGGTGAACAGATTTTTACTGCTAAACAAATCCATCTCAAATAACATTACAGTCACAAGCTACCAAGCGTTAGCCAACAGCTTTTCAGTTAGTCTTTCTCACCTTTTCGTTGAAAATCAAACTCCTACACAGGACTATGAACACTTGTATTGATCAGAGGCTTCGGTCTCTTTTTAAATCCATTTAGATTTTTTTTTGGTGTCAAACACTCTAAAAACTTTTCTGATAGTGTTTTCTAAAGTGTGCATTGTATCACCATGTTATCAGTCAACATTTCTCATAAGTGTGAAGTCACTAGAAAGCAGAGGTGGATCAAGTCATCATTTTGCAAGTCTCTAGTAAGTCTCAAGTCTTTGACCTCAAGTCTGAGTCAAGTCCCAAATCAAATGCATGCAAGTCCAAGTCGAATCTCAAGTCACTGGAACATAAGTTCAAGTCTTAAAACCAACAAACCAAATATAGCTTTGTTTTTTGCAATTTATGTGAATTTTAAACTAATTTGTACATCATAGTATATGAGTATTTCTATGAGTTGTAGAAATGCCTTGACAAGAGCGTGAATTATTACTGTCAGAACAGAAAGAGTTAAGATTTACGAGTGCTTAATAACAGTTTTGTCAGCTAGTCTAAGCATCAAGTCTTGTCAAGTCACAAGACTCAAGTCCAAGGCAAGTACCAAGTCACTGACCTTCAAGTCCAAGTCATGTCCCAAGTCTTAGTCCATTTTATCAAGTCATGTCTCAAGTGTAAAAAATAGTGACTCAAGTCTGACTCAAGTCCAAGTCATGACTTGCAAGTACCCAACACTGCTACAAAGTATCAATAACTGCTAACCTTGATTGGCTTCAGTCTACTTGAGCAGGACAGGTCATTCTTTTGTGTTTACTCTTTACTCCCAAGTGTAGAGGGTGCTCTTGGGACAAAAAACTAACCACCAAAAACAGGGAGAAACATCCTGGAGCCATATGCACATATCCAACTCAATTTACTGTGGACATAATGACCACAAAGTGCACAATGAGACACCGAGAAGATGAATCACCTCTCTTGTGTTTATGACATACGAATGCTGCAGGCTTCTTTTATCATAATGGAACTCCACAATGGCCCAATGGTGAATGTAAGGTAAATGCAGACCTGTGCCCATAGCCAAGTACACCCACGAGCTCCGCATACCCCATTTATCATGCATTATTTCATTGTAAAGCACACACAAAATGTATATATTGTACTGCCTGTGTCTGACTGCAGTGTTTATGTGAAGGGAGGGGCTGTGCATGTAATTGCTGGTTGTCACCGTAGCCCCTGATGGATGGTGTGAGGTGGGCCTGGACCGCGACACAAGAGGTGACCCGAGAGAACGAGAGGGGAGGAGGAGGAAGGAGGAGGAGGGAGACGGGATCGAAAATGCTGATGGGGATCAAGGTCAACAGGTTTATCCATCCTGCCCCCCGTATGTCGAAGGCAAGTGTGGTTGGACCAGCTGGGGTAAGGACGCTAACTCATCTCCATGACAAGGTCTCGGCCACTGCGTCAGAATTTAAAGAGCTATTAGCTAATGATCGGAGCATATAAGGATACATTTCATCATTATGTTCAAAGGTTTTTTATAAGTGTTAACTGGAGCCAAATAAAGTTGCACTGGTACCTCACTGCCAAAATGTCTAAGGTTCAGGTTTGGATTGAGTCAAGTGTCCAGATGGAGTACTAGTATAGAAAAAGCAATCATTTGTAGTTGTAGCTGTCTGTAAATATCACCAGGACAGGTCTGAGCTGGAACACCAAGGCAGAATAGATATTATATGTCAGTGGAGCTTTCTGGCTAAATAAACTGGTCACTGGTCAGGGTATTCTTGTCTAAGCTCCATAATAGACCCATAATGACACTTCAGTCACCCACAACCTCAGGAATAGGTAACGCTTTTGTTTGACATCTTTCCACAAGTACAGGTAAAGGTCAATATTAAGGTACACTTTATTGTCCCCATTGATTTTAAAGTTATTTTATTTCCTTTTAAATGTCTTCATTTTATGGCTCCTCAGTATCTGTCTGACCTGCTCGTACCTCACACTGCCTCTCGTCCTCTCAGGTCAGTAGATCAGGCTCTTCTCCACGTCCCAAAGACCGAGAGAAAACAGAGAGGAGATTGTGCTTTTTGCAGTGGCTGCTCCAAGGCCATGTTTTTGAGTCCCTCCTAAAAACTCAGATTTTCTCCTCGACTTTTAACTCAGTTTGAGGGTTGACCATTTACCTGTCACTGTATTTGTCACTGTTTGTTATGTGTCCTAGCTAATTTGTGTAAAGCACTTTGGTTGACTGTGTGGTTTTTAAAGTGCTCTAGAAATAAAGTTGAGTTGAGTACCCAGTGGAAATTTGATCTCAGCATTTGACCCAACTTTTATTGAGCAATGGATGGTGCAGTGCAGCAACCAAGGACCCATCTCCAGATCTTGAACTAGGCTTAATCAGGACTACCTTTGACCTAGGTCCATGTTTTAGTGTGATGGGGAAAACCGGAGTTTCTGGAAGGGGAGGGTGTGAGTAACTGTACCCCCCTACAGTAGATATAGTGAATATTGTCGTTACATGGTGCTTTACTGGGGACATCTTGCCTTAGAGCATAATGTGTATACAGGTTCTTGTTCTCCCTTGGTTCTTCTTCCTTTAACCTGAAAATTGCAGAAGACATTTTCAGCAGACAACATTTTCTGACCAAAACACTATTATTCAAAAAATGAAGAAAACAAAACATTTTCCTTACATTAACTTTTCAACCTTGAATATTTCCATAGACATGATCAGTCTGCTGATAAAAACACAAGGTCAATGTTCATTCACCCTCACCACCTTTCTCTGTCATTTGACCGGCAGTAACTCATAACATCGACTGAGCCCGTGCCATTGTATCATCATTTAACATCTCTCCTGTCATAATCGAAGCGTATTAGTCTAAATTCATAATCAATGCGTGTTCTCTGCATGGGAGACAGCTATTCCCTCGCTCCTCTTCCTCTGTGTGTGTGAACTTAGTGCAATGTCACACTGATTCATCCCCTGTGCCTCGCGGAGTGGAAAGAATAACTGCACCTTTGAAAGTCATTTTGGGAGCGGACTATTTGCTGGCACAGATTCATGGGCTGTTGTTTGCACACGTCAGCTGTCCTGAGATGGGATATGTCCTGTCCTCACCCTTTGAGATCCACTGTCTGTCCATCCTCTCCCCCCCAACTCCTAAACACAACC